ACTGGAGAACAGACTAAGTGGTCTCCAAAATGTAGATATTGAATGGGTAGCTGGAGAAAAGCTGTGCGATCTGGAGTACGCTGACGACATAGTTTGCCTGTTCGAAACCATGGATGATACACAAAGCGCACTTGACATATTAGCAAGTTCTGTTTCCCCATTCGGCATGTGCTTTGTACGTTTAAGGTGGAAAGTAATGCTGCAAGACTGGGTGTCACCGAGTTCCATTCTGAAACTAGACGGTCAGGAATTAGCTGAGGTGGACTGCTTCTCGTACTTAAGTAGCTGCATGATCAACGACAGTAGCGCACCAAAGGAGATAGCCACCCGCAGTTCCAAGGCTCGAGTGACGTATGCAGGACTTAAACACCTGTGCTATCGAAGTGACGTCTCACTGAAGTTAAAAAGTCGCGTATATTGCGCCGATTTACGATCAATTCTGTTTTGCGGATGTGAAAACTTGAATTTGCCGGTAGAAGACATCCGTATATATATGTACATTTATCACCGGCTTGTAGACAAGCATGGTGCCAACGCAACAACAATAATTACAATAGCAATGAAAGGGGACAGGTGGACTGGAGTACAGCAGTGTTCGACAAGCGATGCTTACGTAGTCTGGCCCAAGTATGGAGTGGGCGGGTTGGTAACCTAGAAATAAGTCGTCGGGTGTTAGGGAATGCATCGAACGAGGCTCCGTTGGTTAGGACACACTTTGCGTATGTCCGCAGCGCGCCTTATTCGCAGTGGCTGTTGCAGACTAGAGAAAGCCACGTGGAGGCCAGCATATGACGCGGAGACGAGGAATGAAGAAATGCATGGAGCGACTAGGTAGAGTAGGTGTCTCGTCTTCCGGGTTGGGGTCCGAAAGACTCCGTAACCGCATGGTTGGAGACAGTGAATGGCTGCGAACCGACAGCAATGACGATCATGCTGCCACTCCTTTTTAGACCAGAATGTTTGGAATAGTAATTATGCACAGTTGGACTGTTTACTGTATGTTGACCGCAGAAGTTCACTTTATTTTCCCGTCCCTAAAATTAAGTCCAATCCCTATCCTCTTTACACATTCTCACTTACCTTGTATGCAATATGAGTTCGGCAGCGATCAGTGAAGTTCACTTTACTGCATTACGCTGTAGAATGACGATGATTCATACACAGTGTACTATAACTGGATAGTAGATGAAATTAATGTCTCGTCATAGTTATTATTCTGGTGAACCGGTGCATGGAAGCGCATGTTTAGTTCAGTTCAGTTTTTACAGCCATTAACCATTCACTTGCGTGCGACGATTTTGGTTTCTATTTTTTGGGCGCCCATTTGGATAAAACAACAGAATGAAGATCGGAATGTTGAGAGGAAATTCAAGTGGAAGATGGAGAATTCATATAGAGTGGTGTTAACAGAATAATGAGTGGATGCACGAGCGCCACTGTTTGCGACATCCAGTCATATCATTGTGTCTCTAACAGTCGGTGACCATCACGGTTAAACACACAAAAATTGTTATTCCACTTATTCGTAATCTTCTAGTCTGACAGTTACATTTTTTACCTATACTCTGTATCCCAACCCACCCACCCCCACCCCCCCCCCCGCGTTATTGTTATTATTGTTGTGGCGTTGGCACTATGCTTATT